AAATTGGCAGCTGATCTTTAAAATGACCTAAAATCTGTTGTTAACTGAAGCAAACAATGATTTGTTAATTTTAACACCTCTAAAACAAAACTGCTCCCTATTAATCATCTAAGAGACCCCTTTTGGCTTTCCATCAGCATGGCTGATGCTAACTGCCAGGAGAGTGACTCATTGTGCCTTCTTGGGTTAATATTCTTGACCGACATGAAGTGGAAAGACTACATTGAATCCATTGCTAGTTCAGCTGCTAAGAAAGTTGGTTCACTGTGTTGTATGAGACAATTTTTCTCTCCAGTATCTATCTTACATATCTATAAGTTTACCATTCATCCATGTTTAGAATATTGCTGCCACAGATGGTCTGGTGCTCCTTCTATATACTTAGAGATTTTTGATAAAATCCAAAGAATCAGCAATATTATTGGTCCTGACCTGGTGTCTCAACTTCAGTCTCTTTTCCACCACTGTAAAGTTGCTTCCTTGTGTCTTTTCTATAAAAACTTTCATGCTAATTGTTCAGATGAGCTCTTCACTATGTACCTAGACGTTTTGAATTTAAGTTTGATTTGACGTTTTGAATTTAATTTTAATTACTAGACTAACAACAAGATTTTATGATTTTGCAGTTGAATTGGGTCAATGTAACCATAAGTTCTATGCTAATTGTTTCTTTTAATGCACTTCTCATTTGTAGAACTCTCTTCTGGCTCCATACTTTCCAGCCAACTTTGATCTTCAAAAATTCAAATGTAATGTCAATTGTTATCTACTATCTTCCTGATTACTCTTCTATTGTTCTTGCTCCTTAATGTTTCTGTTTTCTAATTCTTTCACAAGACAGTAGACCCTTGTGTCTTAGTGGCTTTATTGTCTTGCTTAGGGTAAATTCATTTGGGGACAAAACATAAATATTTGCACAATGACTAGAAAGCTGGATAAAGAAGAAAAAAACACTACCAGAGATTCAACAGTATAAATCACTGATAGATTGGATTTAGTAATCATTCTTTCTGCTGACAAAAGGAAGGTTGCTTAGACTTATTATAAATGGTTTCAAACACTTTCAAGTGGTAATCCAGATGTGCTCTGCAGTTTACAGTGAAAGAATCTCTGGTAAAAGACAAGGCACTGGTGGAATTATTTATTAAGTGTTCTGTTATCACTGAGTGCAACAAAATGATGACAATTTCGGAAGATGTGGATAAGTTTGTACAATTTGGACCAGATAAAGGCTACTGAGCTAAAATTTCAAAAGCTTTTGCTCAAATTGGTAAAGGACAAGATTCTTCATGTTGATATCTATGAGGCTGTAAGACTCTGAGTTCTATATAGCCCTGGTTGTATGGTGTGCCACAAGGACAATTTCACATTAAAGCTTCTTTTAATTATGGTAGGCTCAATGTAGCACAATTCGACATAATTGTTGGCCAACATATTGGTGGTTAGGTCTCATCATTTTACTGTTGAAACAGCTAGATGTAACCATGTTCTATTTTAATAGTTTCTTCTCCTGCACTTTTTTGAATGTGGAACTCTCTACTGGCTTTTTAGTGACAACTATGATATTTAAAAATTTAGATGTAATATCACTTGCTATCTTCTATTGTTTTGAATCCTGTATTTTTATTGTCCTTTCTCTGCACTAACATTTTTAAAATTTTCATTCTCAATTATCTGTTGTGGCTTTATTGTCTTACTTGGGGTGAAATGACTAAAAAAAAAAAAAAAAAATTTGTTTACTTTTGCTATCTTTATGCAAAATAATTATTCCTTTGACCCCAGTAATAAATTTATGTGTTATTTTGATATCAGTAATCTATTTTAAATGTGTACTGCTAAGGGAAACTATTCAAATATGTGCTGATACTTTGTATCCGTCATTTCTTTCCCCTTCCAATTTTGGAGGTTGTCTTCAGGTTCTTGGAATCTGTTGCTATGCCGGCAGGATTTTGTTTTGACAATATGATATATAGACAACTAGATGTGATTATTATGGGTAGTCCTTTTGACCCTATGATAGACAACATTTTAGTTTGATATTATGAACTAGATTTGCTTTCTTGTATTGAAAATACTTGGTGTTATTACCGACATGTGGATGACTCTTTTTAAGTATTTGATAATGAGAAGCAGTCAGTTTTTTCATGGATTATTGTGTTCAACATTAAGATTTACATTTGAAAAAGAGAATAACACAGTTTTACCTTTTCATATGCTGGTACATCAGTCAAACTTGTTTTTTTTTTCTGATTTTTGTGTATGATAAATCTACTTCTATTAGATTGTATACTTGTTGTGACTCTCTTTGTCCTAAACAACAAAAACTTAATTTGTTCAAGACTTTGGTTCATTATGCCCTAATTATCTGTTCTAAAAGCAAATTCTGAAATTACAAACATTTTAATTGAAAATGGCTATCTTCTGGTTGTTGTGCAATCTAGCATTCATGCTAAAATTGTACAATAAACCTGAATGGTATGGTCTGGAAAAATGTTCCATTTATTTGTGATTACTGTGAACTGGCGAGGTTAATACTAGATTTATTAGGAAAATCTGTTTTTTCTACCAATCCATGGCTTATTTTTACTTCCCAGATTATGTTAAAATCTATTCGTAAAGATGTTCTCTTTTCCATCATGTTAGTTCAGTGATTCTGATTTTAAATACCCATTTCTATTACATAGTTATTAAATTTGCATACATTAAACATAATGGTTATTGGACAGACGTACATTTTTTTTTAAAAATATTTGGCATACCTTGTCTTTTATCCTTATTTCTTAAAACTTTTTTGTCTGTAAATTTCTCTTGTATGCAATATTACCAATGAATTTCTACTCCTTCATTCCTGAAGTTTCATCAAGAATTATCACAATAATGACTGTCATCATTTTCTTTTTTTTAAAGAGAAAGATATAATTCTGTTGATGTGACTCTTCAGAGCTCAATCAAGGACAAAACACATAAATATGTGCACAATGACTAAAATATGGAGAAAGAAAAAAATCGCATACAGATTACATTTAGACCTAGCAACCTATATAATATTTGGATACAGTAATACAACACTTTTTTAACTCTTTAAAGTAGCTATCAGGTGCGATACACTATACTAATCGATTCTTTGTTTTTTAAGACTCAACAAAGGCTTTAAGAGGATTGCACAATATTCTAAGTGTGATCTCTCTTCTCCCTTTTCTTCCCATACTCATTGTTGAGTGTTAGGGACCAACATTCTCCCTATCCAATCCCTAATGTTATCAGTCCAGTGTCACCTTGGTTTTCCTCTCAGAGTGTTCAAACATGTTTTGCAGCTCCACTCATGAAGCAATTAATTTGGTTGTTCCAGCTCAGTGCAAAGCTGACCTGTGCTCAAACATTTTTATATCCTTATTTACCCTAACTTACTTCTGGACCAGAAAAAGAAATGGACATTGAGAACTTGGTTTCACTACAGTTTCTACAAAAAAAAGAGAATAAACTTTGTAGTAGAAACTCATGTTTTTGTATGCTTCTTCTTTGTTTACATGTGAATATGCACACACTTATTAGACACCAATACGCAACCTTTAAATTCCATAGACTCACTCATACATCAATATTTCTTGCAAAATTTAATGTCTTATATTTTTTACCTGTCTATCATTTGGCAATATTTGGTTAACAAAAAATACATAAAATCATATATAAATAAATTTTAAAATATTTTGTATTTAATAATACAATATATATATATATATATATATATATAAAATGTGTAATATATATATTACTAATTATATATTATATGCACGGTACTTATTAGAAAGCGCTCAATATTAGAGATAGAGCTGACATATTTGGTTGGAATGATGTGAGTTTGTGACCCTGGGTTTCATGGTTTTGCAATCCTCAGACAAAAAGCGTGAAACTCAGGATCACAAACTCACATCATTCTAACCAAATATATATATATATATATATATATATATATATATATATATATATATATATATTATATGATCTCATAAAATCATCCAAAACCAAAAAATTAGCATAATAAAATATGTTCAGCAGATGTTCTTATTTCAAATTCCTGCCGACAGGTAGTACTCATACAGTATTTTGAATTCAGAATTGTTTACATCTTTGCTCTGCTGTTGACGTCCTTTCAGTTACATTTCAATTGTGATTTAGAATACATGGCTCCAAAGAAAAGTCCAAGTGCTAATGCTAAGCATAATATTGCTGGAAGATAAGGTGGAAATGAATTATTTTATTTGGAATACTCTATGTACATATTATAAATTCTGTAATAGGCAATAGTGTGGTTATTTCAACTTAAGTAATTTTTCAAATTAAGTTGTGACTTCTGGAACCAATTAATGACATAGGCTGAGGTATACCTGTATTAGTATCTTCATTAAAATATGTGTAGTGGTATAATGGTTAACAATGTAGAAATTTGAATGTCTATTGAGACTTTTTACTCTTGAAAAAGGCATAAATTCAACTCTCCTTACACTCTGTTCTATTGCAATTTATCTTAACCCTGATCCTGTCTCTGTTATAACAGAAAGATAAAATAACAGTTGAGTGGGAACATCAGTAATCTGCTTTTCTATAATTGCCTTATTTGCTCAGGTATTGGCAGAAAAACAGCTGCTACATCCATTACCAACCTTGAGGCCAGTCAGTCTTTCACTAAGGCAATTATTCCAATTTTCCCTGTGTTCTGTTCCACTTCCAGTCATCTTCATCAAATAGGAGTAACAGGAGAGTTATTGATTATTTTCCGCCAATTTTGAATGTGACCCATGTATTATTATTTTTTATTTTTATTTTTTTTTTGATTACTTCTACTAATGAGACTTGGAGTTTACCCCGTTTATTTGAGATATCTATTGTAATATGTGTATGTTTGCTATGACTATGCTGAAACTATATTATTGCTTAAATTATCTACTTTTGGGGTAATCAAATACAGCATTTTTTTTTTCCACTTCCTTTCCAGATAAACCATGTCTAGCACTGACCCTGCCTATCAGTCTGCAGGGGGCACTACCTCAGGCATCTCTAATGAAGCTACTACAATGTTACAAACTTTTTGGCATCGAACAATGGAAGGCATACAAAAGATGACACAAGTAAGTAAAACAAAGAATATTTCTCTTGTTTGATTTTGAAAATAAAATAAAATACTCACTGGTAAATCAATAAGTCCTGTATCCTCATGAGGAAAAGTATTATTCTTTACATAATATCCTTTGTCAGTGCATATAATTTAATGATGAATATTAATAATTATACAGTGAAAATTTCAGATGAAAATTCAGCTAATAACTATATATAAAACTGTAGACTTATTAATGTACTTTTGTGTGTGCGTCATAATAATAACACAAATAACAAAAAGCATAGAATTACTAGAATTTAAAAGCAAGCAGATTTTTGTAAAGAAAGTGCTCAATAAGAAAGCTAGAACTTAGAGTGACTTTTATGACCAGTATTGGGCAAAATTTAATATATTTAAAAAAAAAGTTATTATTCACATAGCTTTCTGATTTGAAATCATTCTAACCCTTTAGCATTCAAATTGTCTAAAACCTACTATGTAAATATTGAATCCACTGTAACCTGCCGCATGTATACTCTGCCATAATATATGAGAACATCATTGCAAATAACACAAAAAATCACAAAAAGTGAGATTTTGACCAAAAACAGTGAGACTTTGAGGGCAGGTTTGAGCATATTGAATGCTAAAGGGTTAATATACAGCATGTCCATAAAGTTCGTGTGCACTTTAAACTATTTATAACTTAAAAGTGCACACAAATTTTATGGACATCCTGTATTTATAATTTTAATAATCCAGTAATATTCTTTTAATATTAGAATTAATTTACATGAGTAAAACTTTGATCATAAACAGTCAAATTACTAATCTTCAACGGATTTATTTTAAGTCTGCTGTTGTTGCTGAGTGTAAGGGAATTTTTATGATTATTTATGGATTTTTTATCCATTTATCATGTGATTTATGTATATTTTTCCTTGAGGTCAGATACAGGATTTGGGTTGAAAATTTAATATAAAAAAACAAAACAAAAACATATATTTTTACCTCATTTGTAGGGAGTGTAAACATTGACCTGGAAAACCTAAAATAAAATTTCATAATTTATTTTACCCAAAAGAACTTCATTGATCACCAGAAAATACTGTAATAATATATACAAGGGTAAATCAAAAAGTGTTGATAATTTTTGACTTTCCCTCATAGTTGCTGTGGTGTGTGGATACAAGATGGATTGATTGATTATTTTTTTTTTTTTATGGTTTATTGACCTTTTGCAAGTTATGTAAAGCCAGATTATATATATTTTAGATTGTAAGAATTTTTTGGAGTTAATAAAGATTTATTGATACAAATCCTACTAATTAACACATAGCTCAGGGGAGAGGACAGGGATTCATATCTTTCCCAAGGGTAAAAAAAACCCAACTGGGATTGTAACTCAGCTCTCTGAGTTCCCACTCAGAGCCATTATCAATTGCACTAGCTGCATTATCCAAGCTAACAGTACCTGGTATTTCCAGGTGGTCACTCATCTAGGTATTGACCAGTTGCTTACCTTCACTTATTGTATGAGAGCCAGTCTTTCAATGTGAAATGAGTGTAAGTGTGTGTGTGTGTGTGAGAGAGAGAGTGGAAGTAACATTTTATTATGAAATTTTTACCTTGTTTTAGTGAGAAGAAATTATTGGGTGTCATGTCCCTGGCTTAAATATTTAATAATTGATCATTTTGTCTACCAGGTGTTAATGTTTATTTTTCCTTTCTTTTTTTTTTTTCTTTTTTAAATTATTTTGTAGAATGATTTTAAATGTCAAGAACTCCCTCTAGCAAGAATAAAAAAAATAATGAAGCTTGATGAAGATGTCAAGGTGAGTTTTTTTTCTTCTCTTAATCTTACAATACAGCACCATTTTGTAATAAATTTTTAATTCTTTTCACAAAATAAAGTATTAGACTTTACATTTTTTGAATTATTTACTCTATTTATCCTCCAAAAAGAAATGTTTTATAAAAATAAAATTATAATTATAAAAAATGTTTTATAAAACTGTGAGGCAAAAATACCTCCCACATATTCCTCACAGAAATACCTCCCATATAATGGTAAGACATTAGTTAGATAAAGACACCATTGCCACTAATGTCTTACCATTATCTGGGAAGTATTTCTGCCACACCCTGTAGGATTTTTCAGGTTGCAACTCACTCAGACTCCCAATTGTACAGATCAAGCCAATAATACTCATCCTTCTTCTATATGCTGTGTTCCTTCAGGATGTGGATGATCATGGCTCTCCACAACTTTACCACTTATAATACAAGCATAATTTAGTATTTTCTTAGTAGTGACAATTATACTAGCAATAGAAGGTTTTAGAAAAAGTGTCCAGGATAGTAATAAGCTAATAGTATTTATAAACTAGTTTTGACTGGTACAT